ACGACACTCCTGATCGTACCACCATCATGTTGGTTTTTTGAGGTACGGTTATATTAAATTGCGCAAATTCATTTTGGATAACCAGAAAACTATCCCAAAATTTCTAATTTATTGTTTTGAGATAAATTTGGTTGAAAATTGTGCTCAAACTCCTCAAAATATCGAAAATTGTCTTTGCTTATTTTTTATTGTTGCTGTTTTCCTCTGGGTGGCGCTATCTCCTGTCATATTGCTAATTTTATGGAGCTGTCATCTGTTGTTGTATAGAAATAACGTCTCTTTGAATTTTTGTACAGTGGTTGGGACCCGTGCTCATTTAATGTGGTCCTCAGTGTTGACATTGTCCTCTGGGTGGCGCTATATATAAGAACCAATTTGGTTGAAAACCCTGCTCAAACTTCTCAAAATATCGAAAATTGTCTTTGCTTATTTTAATTGTTGCCGTTTTCCTCTGGGTGGCGCTATCTCCTGTCATGTTGCTAATTTTATGGAGCTATCAGTGGTTGGGTCCGGTACAGTGGTTGGGTCCGGTAAAGTGGTTGGGTCCGGTGCTCATTTAATGTGGTCCTCAGTGTTGACATTGTCCTCTGGGTGGCGCTATATCCTGTCATGTTGCTGATGTTATGGAGCTGCCATCTATTATTGCATAGAAATAATGCATCCTTGATTTTTTACATCCAAATATCTCAAGTGGGACGGTACACCTATATTGGGGCCTTGTCAAAACATGAACTAATTCTTAAAATAGTCAGCGAATAAGTTGTTTTAGATATTTTAAAAACTATCTAAAATGTCGCGGGACCTTTGTATTTCAAGGCATAGATTGAAATTAAACATTTTCAAAGGCTAAAGCTGTAAGCACCCATATCGAACTTTATTGACAGAAAAATTTGAATAAAAATAATCATCAATAATAATAAAATTAATTTAAAAATATAAACAAAAACAACAATTATATTTTCCAAATCAAAAAAAAAAAAAAACAATTTCCATTTTAACAAAATAAAAAAAAAATAATTTTAATTTTTCCAACCACTCAAAACAGTTTGTAAATAAAAATTTGTTTAAAATAAACATTTTTCTGTGTGTCGCTGTAGTGGTGGTAGTGCAAACAATAAAAATTAATAAAGTGCGAAAATTCGAGAGCTTTATCAATAAAATGCCCGAATTCCGGTGAAAAATGTGAATTTTCTTTGCCGCTTTGCCAAACGAAAAAGAAAACAAACAAAACAAAACTGTGGCAATAAAATACGAAAAAAATCGATTTGGAATATATACAAAAACGAAGGAAAAAAAGAGTGAAATAAAATAAATTTTGAAAGGAATGTGTACATGGAAAAACATGCAAAAATGTTTAATTATTTTTCTTGTGTGGTATTGTGAAATAAATTAATTAAATTCGAAATAACATGTGAAAATTAAATATTAATATTTATAAATAAGAAATTCCTTTTAAGGAAAATTTGAGGAATTTTGAAAATAAAATATTTAAAATTTAAAAAAAAAATTACCAAGTATAGCAGTAAATATGAAAAAAAAGTGTAATGAAAAATTTGCGAGTTAATACAAAAATGTGTATCTGCATCGGAGTTAAAACAAATAAAACATACAATTAAAAAAAAGAAAAAACAAATCTTATAATTCAATTACATAATATTATATTATTATTTGGTATAATGATTTCAATCCATTACTTGTTTGATACCGTATTTTAAGACTGTCGAGGAAAACTATTCATAATAACATCACATTGGGCGTCAAATCTAAATGCCATCCAGGAAAGGAATGCCACAGTACACTCGCTCATTTTTAAAGGCTTTCCTGGACTTTAACTTAGCTTCAAATCACATATTAGAATACAGATTTGGGTAAAATCTCGTTAATTAATGGTTTAAAAATAGATTTTAAATATCTCTATAATCCGATCTATATTCATATTTTTTAAAGAACTTAGAAGGTTATACTCGTCGATTCTAAGATTATAATTCCGAACTGGAGGAGTAATGGAAAAGTTCATCTTGTCATTCCTTTTGCATAACCCCCAAATATACGTCAGAGACCCTATAAAAATTAATTTTTTTTGATCTAAAAAAAATTATGACGATTTACCCTACCAAAATTTATCAATATTATACCCTACACAATTATGTTGTCAGGATATTGTGTGGCCCAAAGAGTTTGTAACGCCGTGAAATATTGGTCATAGACACTCCTTTTAATATACCGATCGTCATATCTCGACTAGCTGAGTCGATCTAGACATGTGTGTATTCTTCCGGCCTTCAGTCCCTAATAATTTGTAAACACGATACATGTCACAGTTATGGACTAAACACTTAATTTTTGTCTGGATTTCTAAACGCTCTAGACGCCACAATTACAAGCTGAAAATGAAAAATTAGAAGGGCTGTTTTGATAAGGATTGGCCGATATTCACCCGGTTAAATCAACCATGACCTTTCTGTGCAAAATTAAAGAAAAATGCATGTTATGGTGTAAATGTGCACACTGGGAAAAAACAAAATTAGGAAAATATTCTGTTTGTTGACCTCTAATCGATCAAGAGAATGCAAATGCAGGGAAATTTTGACCGGCTCGGAACATAGAACGACAGAAAAATCGAGTTCCGTGGTAGTTGTATAGGGTATCATATGATCGGCCCCATTCGATTATACTGCTCCGCTCACTGGTACAGTAAATTAGTTCGTTATATACGAAGTTCGTTATATCCAAGGTAAGGCAAAAATGTTGGGATTTTGTTCAACCAAATTTAATGTAATTCTCTATTTTGTCTTCTCATTGTGTCGAAAATCTCTCTACCGAAAATATTGAACTATGTTTTAACTGAATTGGTTCTAATTTCATATTTGTGTTCTCATTAGTTCACCTCGAATTAGCTATAATCTGGCATTACAGATTTCTAGAGGGTAAAAATATTCTTTGTTGGATATTTTCAAAATAGTTTCAATAGGGTCCCAATATAATGCTCCCGCTCAATTTTCGGTATTCGGAAGGTTTTAGTTTAATTTTCCCACTGAAGTGGCTGTAATTTGGTATTCCTGGTTATTGGTGAAAAATTTAATATAGGTTTATGTTCTGACATAGACCCCCCACAAAGAAACCGCCCCATTTTGAAAGTTTTAACCATATACCAAGTGGATAAAAATTTTATTGAAAGAAATGCTGACTCCTGTTGGAATGTCCAAGGTCTGCGGCCAAAATGTTTGCATGCCCAAGGCTTTAATACACCCTCCAGAATATTTTCGCAATAATATTTGGTATTTATTCTGATGCCACGAGCGGAGAGCGACCATCGGCTGTTATGGCGGCCCACACCATCACCATGGTCGGCGCTTGAGTTCTGGTGGCCAACCGGAGGTGCACATTTTCTGCTGACCTCTTTGGCAAGTAAATACGATCATTTTTTTTTACAAACTGCTGGACAACGAATGTTTTCTCATCGAAGAAAACTAAATTCGGCAGTTCACCACTTTCGGCCAAGTGAAGCAACTCTTTAGCTCTTTTGAGTCTATTTTCTTTTTGTTGCGGTGTAAGTTCTTGCAGTTTTTGGAATTCAATGGCTTTACCCCGAGATCATTTTTCAATATTTGCCGAATGGAATATTGCGATATGTTCAGCTCACGAGCCATTTTTCGGCCACAGCGACGCGGGTTTCGTTCAAGTCGCTTCTTTACTTTTCGAATCATTTCTTATGATGTTGCTGCTTTCTTCCGTCATACTGAATCAGGTCCATACTGCTGTATGCGAAGTTTTGTTGAAATCGGATCAGATTTAGATATATCTCCCATATATATTTCCGTCCGATTTTAAATAAATGGAGCACCAAAGATCCAAAGTTAGCCGGGTTGGAATCGGTTCAGATTAAGATATAGCTACCATATATATTTTTTTGGTCCGATTTAAAAAAAAAAAAAAATGGTGAACCAAAGAAATGGAGACATAACCCATATATATTTTCTACCGACTTGATGTTAATTGGCCTTCAAATAATCAGCGGGTGTCCGATTAATGATATCAATGATAGATTTTCCGATTAAAATATATTAATTTGTATTAAGACTTTTTAGTAATAATTTATTTAATGTGAAATTTTTCAAACTAAAATTGAAAAAATATCTGAATAAAATTTCAATACACTTTAAATACAAATTAATTTTCTATCTACCGGCAAAAAAAAAATATATATATATATATATGTATATATATATTTCAAATCAACAGAAAAATTAATATATAAACTGAAAGTGAATTAATTTCCCTCAGTCACATCACCTTCCCCTCTTCTGTGCAACAAAAAGAAAACGCCAAAATCGACTCAACAACCAACGTTCAGTGCTCTTTTGATGAAAACCAGAAGAAACAAAATAACACAAAAAAAACGTTCTTTTTCACTACAAATATATATGTGTGTGTGTGCTAAATTAAAAAGGCTGAAATAGGAATTTTCATTTTCAAATTTTTTTCTTTCAAAAAAAAAATGTTTTTTTCTTTCTTAAAAATAGATTTTCGCTAAACGGAACGCGCGAATCGAAAAAAAATATAACACAAACAGACACAGCAATAGCAACAACAACTAGAAAAACTACGTCAAAATAAACGAAACAAAAAAAATTAAAAAAATTTGAAGAAAAAATACGCGAAAAAATTACGCCAGCCACAGAGCTACGAAGCGTAAAAAAAGGAACCACGAAATGTTAGTGATTTGAAACGAAGAAAAAAAGTGAATTCTTTTTTTGTTGTTGTTTTTTTTTTAATTTGGTGAAAATGTGAAAAGTCAACAAATAAAGGAAGTTTAAGAAAAACCAAAAAAAGAAGTGAATTGAAAAAAATTTATTTCGAAATACACAAAAGACGACCTAAATTTTGCAAAGAATTAAAATTAAATAAGAAGAACATCAGCCGCGGCAGCAGCAGCAACAACAACAATAACAATTGAAGAACACAAAATAACAACAACAACAATAAAAAAACGCCTTAAGATGCAGTCATCAACGGCATCAGTGGCCACCTCCTCCTCAGCCTCAACGGCCTCAACAAAATCGCCATCCAGCAGTAAATCATCCGGCCTCCACAGCAGTAGCAGCAGTACAAAGTTGATGCAACCCAGCAAACAAAGTGTGGGCAAGACAAAATCCACACCCAATGTCACCACAGTGCCGATAATGCTGAACAATGGTGCGACCATAACGGGCGGTAGGGATCTACAGACCTCTTTGGAAATTGAAGAAATTTCCAAGAAAATTTCCGAACATGCTGATGCCTTGTATCGCACCTGGAAGAGTCATGGTATTGCGCCCACAGAAATTTTGGATATATACACAGCAGAGGCTGCAGCGGCCACTGGGTCCATAACGGAGGATGTCAAAAGTACCGAGGGTCTACACAAATTGGTAAATTCATTTGTCATCAAAGACAAAGAACAGAGAGGGGTACAGGGCGGGAAAGTTGCGGGCGGAAGTTCAGTGGGTGGTGGTGGTGTGAAAACAACAACAACAAAAACGGAGGGAAAATTAAATTCGAGTCAGACAAAACGTCAACGTTCTCCCTCACCCTCTTCAAAACAGGCCATAAATAATAGTTCCTCTTCCTCCTCCACCACCTCCTCCACTCTATCCTCCAGTGGCACTTTAAAGAGTGCCGTGCTAAATAGTTTGGATAAATCTGCTGACATTTTAAATACCAAAAAATCCACAGCTGTCACCACTTCCACCCCTAACTCCACCTCCCCAACCACCACAAAAATAAATTCCAATTCCAAATTGGGCAGCTCTGGATTTTTATTAAACAACAAAGTAAGCAGCCGTTTGGCGGATCTGGAAGCAGAATTGGAATTAACCAAACCCACCACCCACACAACGGCCACTACCACAAAATTCAAATCCTCCCCAAAAACTGGAGAATCGGTTTCCAAACTTAGTACACCCTCCAAAACGTTGGATCTGAATTTCGATATTAGTTTGGATTTAAATTTGGATATACCAGCCTTGACGTTGCAACAAAGTGAAAATCTACAAAAAATCAAAGAACTATTGCAGCAAGAAACCCCCACTCACCCCGTGGGAGGGGCAATGAAAAGTAACAGCAAGATACCCTCGGTGATAATTGAAAAATCCGCATCCACATCACCAAGCAACAAACAAGTCAAGGTGAAAAAATCCTCAACTTTGGAAAAATCGGATAAAAAACTCCGCGACTCCAGCCCCACATTGGGCGCCACTCTGCACAAAGAAGAACCTCTCAATGAAGTTACCACAAAACTACAAAAGAAAACCAATACAAATGCCGGAGAAACCACCACCCCCTCCTCCACCTCGCCGACTGGCAAAAAAGTCAGCACAAAAACCAAAACCTCCCATCGACCACATCCGGTTGAAGAGGTTGTCAATCAGCTACTAAATACCTTACAAGAACCATTAGAGAAATCTCTCGGCGAACAATTAACATCGGTGGCAGATAAATCGATAAGAAAATCCGATAAAAATAAAGATACCGGGCCAAGTAGTAACGGCAACGTGGTGGCGGTGGCGACTAAAAAACGAACCACCACCACAGCGACTAGTCCACAATCCTCCGCACTCAGCAATGGCATCATAGATACACATTTATCGAATATCCGCACCGCCATCAATGAACCTTCACTGATATCGACAGATCTAATAGAAAAAACAACAGCTGAAGTAGAAAAAATTCAAACGGAATTGAAGGCAAGCGAATCGCAAGACGCCAAAGCCAATAGCAGTGCAAACGTCGTAAAATTACAAAAAACTGGCAGCAAATCAACGAAAACTTCAACAAAATCCTCAAAAACAAAAGATTCCTCCTCAGCCACAACTAAAACAACAAAATCTGCCGTAACAGAAGAAACCAAAGAGAACAGCGATACCGTAGACTCCACTAAATCTACAACACCTCCAGCCAGCAACAACATGAATGGCAGCAGCATCTTAACACCCACCAAACTGAAATCGACACGACCCCTCACCAATGGCCAGGAGAAGGCCGGTAAGTAGCAGAACTTCTATAGCCCAGCTATTAAAGTGAATGAGAATTATTTGCCCCCCTTTTCTTGTTATTCCAGTACGCAGTCCCTTCTTAACTCGTGGCTCGGTGGCCGAACGTGTTCTCATGTTTGAAAAATGTCCCGATGTGCGTAATTCATTTTTAAATATTAAACGACCCGATCCCGCCGATGCACCACCCAAATCATTACTTAAGGTAAGTCAAAAAAGAGATTCTATATTATTTTAAAGGAATTCGAAAAGGTTTTGAGTAATTTTCATAGAAAAAATCCATAGATTGTGTGTTATCTAACCGCTATCTACTTTTTTCGCATTGAACGATCAGCAATTTTTTTCTTCACATTTTCGTTTTGTTTTACGTTTCCTCTTCTTCTTCCGATTCTTGCAACAACAGCATGTGTAATTGAAAATTGTTGCAAAAAAAAAAAAAAAAAAAACACAACGAGAGAAGGGTTGTCGAAGAGAGGTTGGGAAAATGTTGCCAGTGTTTCCGTTTCATGGTCAAAATAGTTCGGGAAATTTTTATAAATTTTTATTAAAGGAAGTTTTGTGAGTTCTTCAGCAGTTTTTTTTTTAAGAAATGTTAAGTTTAATATAAAAACGAATTGTAAATTCGATAATTAGCAATATACCCTGAGACCATTGGATAAATTTGAACTCTAATTTTAATGAAATCGGGTCGAAATTCGAATCGAACGTAATTTATTTTATTTTAATTTAAATTGATTAATATATAATGGAAGGAGCACTCAGGAGATATGCGGAAAACCTCGATTGGTATTGCAAATTCGGAATATTGGGGTTCCAAACTTTACTTTTACTTCGAGATGAGCTCAAAGATAGAAGTTGCATTGTAAAACAAAACCTGAGAGACGCTAAGGATCCAGAATTATGCGACGCTTAATATTTTTGAAAACGCCTCCTTTTTTAGAGAAGATTTTTATAGCAACGATGGACTTTTTTCCATAAAACCTTCAAAATATCTTCGTGGCCTTCGGAAGATGCCTTCTTTGAGCCTGACAACTTTTGTGATGACATAGAAGCCAGGGTTCAAATACCACCCAGGTTTAAGCTAAATTGTTTTGAGTTTATATTTTCTGTTGGTTGTCGACAACAGATTACCGAAAAAGGCTCAAAACATTTATAAAGAAATCCGAATCGAGAAATCCAGACCAAACTATTTCAAAGGTCGTACAACCAAACTTTATAAGAAAATGGTTCGATGAATTACTCCAATTACAAATCGAAATAAACCTTATCAATGAGGTTTCATCACCAATAATACGAGGGCAGTTCGGAAAGTTCTTAGACTAGCACAAAAAGCGTGGTATAAACAGAAAAAAGTTAAGTTTTTATGGAAACTTCCATCTCGGTTATGAACACATGTTAAATTTTGTTTCGATCTGCCAACTCCTTCATATAGAAACAGGTGTTAAAAAAGACGCATCGGCATTTTTTAATGAAATCACGCATTTCAAATTTTTCCATTGTAAAAAATTGCGGATGCGTCTTTTTTGAACCCCTGTTTCTATATGAAGGAGTTGTCAGATCGAATCATAATTTAACATGTGTTCATAACAGAGATGGTAGTTTCCAAAACACTTAACTTATTTCTGTTTAATAGTTCCGTTCCACAACCTAAAAGAATATACTAATTTAACAAGTTTTGCAACTTTTTACTCGAAAACCGCTCGTGAACCCACACAACTGGTAAAACATTGAACCAAATTTAAGAGAGCACAAAACAAAATGGCGTTCTCTTTGTAAACTTTTTACTCGAGAAATTTGGCCGAGTAAAAATGGTAAACAGGAATGCCTACTCCTGATTGGCTGTTTTTTGATTTTGAACTATTGCCATCTAATTTTGGCTGCGTTCTGCGTTCCCGAACTTTTCAAATTATTTTGTTCTCTGAGAGCGATTTTGAAATGTATCCCTTTTACTAGCTTTACTATTAAAAAAGTACTTTAACATACCATATATCTCACTTTTTGTGTTAGGCTAAGAACTTTCCGAACTGCCTCGTATAATAAAAATTACTCTTCTTCTTTATGTTTATTATATCTTAAGGTGCATGTACTTGTAGGGATTCTAAATCTATAGACTAATGTTAGAACCGAAAGTAATTGTTGTAAAAAGGAACGACAATAAATATGAATATTAGACTATACAACAATTAGGAACTGGTGGTGTAGGTCAATAAATAAAGCACATGTTTTAATTTGAAGACTTTGGCAGTTTAAAATTGTTTTATTTATTATAATTTTTGATGCGACAAAAGTGTTTCTTATCCATGTTGAAGTCTTCTCACCTCTTGCTGATGCTGCTGAGCTGTTTGTCTTCTTATATGCTCCCTACACATGACCCATAAAAATCGAGAATAATTACAGCCTCCGGAATTCCAACAACATCCGTTTAGATTGGATATATTTGCTAGATGTGCTAGAGTGAATTGTGAGCTCGTAATCTGCTGTACCAGTACAAGGGCCCGATATGTTTGAAATCTGTCCAAATCCCTAGAAGATGAAATCGTCTGGTTCCTTTTGATCCAATCGTTAACCTATTTCTTCTCGTTCATAGACCGAATTAACTGACGTATATTAATGATGGCATTTAATGTCATCATTAATATTAATGACATAGTTCTTTTGCGTGAAATGAAAGTGAAAATTATAAGTAATATTAAGAACATAATTAAAATTTTTACATACAAAACTCATAAATATAATTTTTTCCCAGATAGAGTTGTATCATTCCGGAACAAACTAGTTCAAAGGAACTATTCCCATTCAGGAACGATCGAAACTAGGCCCAGATCATTCGTTCACCTAGTTCCTTTTGATCAAGTCGTTCCTTCTTGCTCAAGTTCACCTAGTTCATTTCGCTCGCTCGTTCCACTTTGCTCTCGTTCCTTTTGCTCCGTCGTTCTTTTTTGCTCCCCTTTTTAATTTCGTTCCACTATCTCATATCTGTGAATCAGTTAATGTAACATTAGCTGCCACTTTCTTTATTGATGAATGAAATATTCCGTGTAATAATTAAACGATTGGTACACCATTTGTATGAATTTTGAATATATATCAGCTATATTTACATCTGAAATGATTTAACGCATTATTCTAGTCGCAATACAAATTAAGAGTGTATTTCAAGCAAACAAAAAAAAGAAGCATGAACGATCGTATTGACTGAACCAACTGTCGTGTACCATTGGATGAGTGAACTAAAAGGAACTATGGAACGACCTAGTTCCTTTTGAGGAGCGGACCAAAAAAGTTCGAACCGCTCAAGGAACTAGATTGCCCAACTCTAGTGCCAGAGGATATTTCAGTGGCACCAATCGTCGCCTTAATATGTTCTCTGTCCAGAAATTTGCGACTTCTTATTTGGTAGTTTGGAGATATTAGGCACGTTTTCAGCCAACAATTTAAAGTCCATAATACATAAAAAAATACGATTTCATTCTATTCTGATGTTAAATACTGCCAAGAAATGAAATATTCAGTTTTTTCTTAAGTTTCATCTGCCATTTTGGATCCATTTTATTTGATTTTCAAAATCTGATTTCACATTTGTGACCATATCTCTACAAAACGTGCTCAAAAATAACATGGCTAACTCAACTTTTGAAAAAGATGACCGCCATTTTCGATCCACCCTATTAGAGTTTTATCTTTTTTCTTGCTGAATCGTAATCAGCGCCCTCGAAACCCTTCCATATGATATTTATTTATTTTATAAACCTTCTTCTCTAATTATAGCCAAAAAATGGGATTTTTGGCCCATAGTGCATCATGTCATTTTATACCCCATTAAGTATATATCTTCCTGATTTGGTGAAACATTCCACCATTTTCTGCAATTTTGTACAGCAGTGTCTGTTGTCTGTCCATGACAAATTAGAGCGTTTTAAGCATAAGTATAGCTCACATAAACGGCACCGCCCAATTTTCAGCATTTTTAATGTTTTAAAACATTTTTATAGTTCATTAAGCACTGATAAAATGGTCAGTTATTATATTGAAGAGTTTTCCGGATCAAACTAAGCGCTTTATATACTTCTTACATTTTCAGATCATTTTATATTGATAAATAAATGGCAACTCTGCCTGTGAAAGAAGAATAGAATTGAAATGTTTTTTTTTATTTTGTTCTTAGCCAATAAAACAACAAGTTGTTGTAAGAGATGGCACTATGGCCAAAACCAAAAAACGAAATAAAAACACACACATACAAATAAAAAATGGCGTTAAAAAAGGCGAAGGAAATTTATTCACAATGTTTTCAATTGTGTATTTTGTTTGGTATCGAATGTACATTAATTTACACTCAAAGAAATTTGTTAGTTATTGAAGGAAAAATTAATTATTGATTGAAAAACACCTCGAAATATTACCAATAAAATTCTATGTCGATTTAGCAATGTCCTTTGAAATCATGCTAGAACTCGCAATATTTAACATAGAGTTTGAAATCGGACACATTATTTGCTACTTCTTCTAGGATATTTGATATTGAAGATGGGATATATCGGTTCACATTTAGTGAATCTGTGGCTGCGCTTTGGTTTTTCAGATGCTCTTTGGTTAGAAAATCCTCCTACCAAAAATATTCGATATTGGTCCACTTTTTAGTCTAGCCTCCATATAACGATAACTTCCACACAAGGATACTTATTTTGAGAGTTTGGTCACGTTCAATTAATCTACGAAATTACATTAGATATTAGGATAATAATTAGGATAATCCCCTTAAATGCTGTTTTGGGGATTGTGATCAAGTGTTATAACCGAATTGGCTTTTATTTGGGTATCATGGGGAGCTAAATCTTCGGTATTTTTAAGGTTTTAGCCTCATTTTCCCATTGGCATTTTTGGAGAATGAAAAACATCTTGGCGGAAAATATTCAAAACAGGCCCATGTTTGAACATTGCTCCCATATATAGATTCTGCCTCATTATCTGTATTTTGTGCATTCCCAGTTCGTGGAGGATGACATACATCGTTGCAGAAAATTGTCCTTAAAGATCCATATTTTTATATATCACACATATTACGATTCCGCCTCAATTTCGATATTTTGAAGGTATAAGCCGCATTTTCCCACCGAAGTGACTGTAAATCCAAACTCACACTCTATAAGACGCTGATACTAACAGTTGGGGCAGCTCTTGGAGTATTTGAGAGTAAAATTCTCG